GAACAGTCTCGGGCCCCTGACATTATTTATGGTCTCTTTAAAGTGTAGGACACCCCTGCTTTCATTTGGGGGGGTGGTGCATCGTCTGCCAAGTCTTTTTTTCTTTCCTAGTGAGTGATTTTCGTGGCAAGTTCGGACGTCCCTTAGGTTTTCCAGGTGTAAATTTTAAAATGTATCTCTCCCCTCCCGCGTTCCGGAATAAATTTTGAAACCTCAGCGCTCCCTAAAGGGTGTTTTATCTCCCTTTGCGCGCCCTGAAAAAATTCTCTGTACATTTTCTAGGTCGGCAATTTCACCTGCCTTGAAAGGTGCTGTTAGTGTGGTGATAGTGGTGGGGGTGGTTGTGCTGGTGGTGGTGCTGATGGTGGTGGTGGTGATAGTGGTGGTGGGGTGGTGGTGGTGGTGAAGATGGTGGTGGTTTGAATCTCACCTACATTAGGTCACAGTTGAAAGCTAAAAACACAGATGAGTCACAAGGATATTAGAAAAAACTTCTCTAGCCTTAGAGTGGTCAGTCAGTGGCTTGACCTTCGTAACAAAGTGGTAGAGGCGGGATCCATATATAGTTTTAAGAATATGTGTGATAGATCTTACGCAGCCAGGAGAGTGAACCCAGTAGTGGGCAGCTGAGAGGTGGGGCCAGGAGCTGAGACTCGAACCCTGCAACCACATTTAGGTGAGTGTATACACACACACACACACACACACACACACACACACACACACACACACACCACACACAACACACATACATACACATACGTACATGCACATACATACATACACATACACACACACACACACATACACACACATACACACACATACAACACATACACACACATACACACACATACACACACAACACAACACACACACACACACACACACATAACACATCCAACACACATACACACATAACCAACCACATACACACACACACATACACACATACAACACACGCACATACACACACACACAACACACACACACACACACACACACACACACACACACATACACACACACACACACACACACACACACACACACACACACACACACACACACACACACACACATTAGCCAGTGAAACTGATGAAAGGAAAGCTGCAGTGGAGGAAACCAAATTAAATGAGGGGATACACAGGGATATGCAGTGGGAGAATGAAAGGGTGAGGTCAGTCTTTGTGTATGGGCTCCAGGAAGTCGAAGGGGAAACATATGAAGCAAGAAAACAAGGGGAAAAAAAAGCAACTGAAAGCATCATGAAAGCAATAGGAGAAGACAATATGACCCAGCTGGAAAATTTTCAGAGAATAGGGGGGTTTGTAAAAAAAAGAACCCGGCCAGTGAGAGTGACCTTCAAGGCAGAAGCGACTCGGACCAGGATCCTGCAGGAGAAAGCACGATTAAGGGACATGACGGCATACAGGAAGGTGTATCTCGACTGCAACAGAACACAAGAAGAAAGGAAGAAACTGAGAGAGATGGTACAAAGGCGAAAGGAGGAAAGAGAGGGGATGGAGAAGACAGACAGCAGATCCCAGACCCAGGAAGAAGATCAAATACAGCCTCCCTCACAACTTCCTATAGAAGCCTCCCAACCAGGTCAACCCCAGTGCAACCAAACACTCTAAACCAAAACACCCATGCCACATCCAATGCCCCCACCCACTACATTACAAACTCCACCCCCACAGCAACAACCCATAGTTCCTTACCAGGTCTCCCACTTCCCCAACCCCAATATACCTCCCAGACCACAGTCTTAGAAAAGAAGTTGAAGGTGTGGTATACAAATGCAGATGGAATAACAAACAAGAATGAGGAGTGGCACGAAAGAATCAAAGAGACATCCCCAGACATAATAGCACTCACAGAAACAAAACTCACCAGAATAATAACAGATTCAATCTTTCCATCCAGATATCAAATCCTCAGGAAAGACAGAGGGAGGAGAGGGGGAGGAGGAGTTGCACTGCTCATTAAAAACCAGTGGGGTTTTGAGAAAGGGAAAGGGAAATGGATGGCACGGGCGAAGGGACTACTTAGTAGGAACAATCCAGTCTGAGGGACATAAGGTGATAATTGCAGTAATGTAAACCCACCACAGAACTGCAGGAGGCCAAGAGAAGAATACGATGAGAGCAACAGAGCAATAATCGACACACTAGCCGAGGTGGCCAGGAGAGCACACATGGGGGGGAGCAAAGTTACTAGTTATGGTGATTTCAATCACAAGGAGATTGACTGGGAAAAACCTGGAGCCCCATGGGGGTCCCGAAACATGGACAGCCCAAAATGATGGATGTGGTACTGGAAAACCTCATGCATCAACATGTTAGAGACACTACCAGAGAGAGAGGAGAGGATGAACCAGCAAGGTTGGACCTTGTATTCACCATGAGTAGTTCGGACATCGAGGGTATCATGTATGAAAGGCCCCTGGGGGCTAGTGATCATGTGGTTTTTGTGCTTCGACTACATAGTTGAGCTCCAAGTGGAGAGAGTAGCAGGAATAGGCTGGGAAAAACCAAACTACAAAAGGGGGAACTACTCAGGCATGAGGAACTTCCTCCAAGACATTCAGTGGGAGAGGGAACTGACAGGAAAACCAGTACAAGAAATGATGGACTATGTAGCAACAAAATGCAAAGGGGGCAGAGGAGAGGTTTGTTCCCAAGGGAAACAGAAATAATGGGAAGATCAGAACGAGTCCTTGGTTCACCCAAAGGTGTAGGGAGGCAAAAACTAGGTGTACTAGAGAATGGAAAAGGTACAGAAGACAGAGAACTCAGGAAAATAAAGAAATCAGCCGAAGAGCCAGAAACGAATATGCACAGATAAGAAGGGAGGCTCAGAGACAATATGAAAATGACATAGCATCAAAAGTAAAGACTGACCCGAAGCTGTTGTACAGCCACATCAGGAGGAAAACAACAGTCAAGGACCAGGGGAATTCACAAGAAACGATCGAGAGGTTTGTCAGGAGCTCAACACAAGATTTAAAGAGGTATTTACAGTGGAAACCAGTAGGACTCCAAGAAATCAGAACAGGGGGGCACACCAGCAAGTGCTGGATGAGGTACATATAACCAAGGAGGAGGTGAAGAAGCTGCTATGCGAACTTGACACCTCAAAGGCGGTGGGACCAGACAACATCTCTCCATGGGTCCTTAAAGAGGGAGCAGAGATATTGTGTGAGCCATTAACAAAGATCTTCAACACATCATTTGAAACTGGGCAACTCCCTGAGGTATGGAAAAATGGCAAATGTAGTCCCAATTTTTAAAAAGGGAGACAGACATGAGGCACTAAACTACAGACCTGTATCACTACGTGTATAGTAAGCAAGGTCATGGAGAAGATCATCAGGAGGAGAGTGTGGGCACCTGGAAAGAAACAAGTGTATAATTGACAACCAGCACGGTTTCAGGGAAGGAAAATCCTGTGTCGCAAACCTACTAGATTTTTTATGACAAGGGGGACAGAAGTAAGACAAGAGAGAGAGGGGTGATGGGACTGCGTATTTTGGACTGCAAGAAGGCCTTCGACACATTTTCCTCACAAGGGTTACTGCAAAAGCTAGAGGACCAGGCACACATAACGGGAAAAGGCACTGCAATGGATCAGAGAATATCTGACAGGGAGGCAACAACGAGTCATGGTAACGGGGGACGAAGGTGTCAGAGTGGGCGCCTGTGACAAGCGGGGTTCCACGGGGGTCAGTCCTAGGACTGTGCTGTTCTTGGTATATGTGAACGACATAACGGAAGGGATAGTTCAGAAGTGTCCTTGTTTTCAGATGATGTGAAGTTAATGAAAGAATCAAATCGGACGAAGATCAGGCAGGACTACAAAGAGACCTGGACAGGGTACAAGCCTGGTCAAGCAACTGGCTCCTTGAATTTAACCCCTGGCAAATGCAAAGTCATGAAGATTTGGGGGAAGGGCAAAGAAGACCGCAGACACAATATAGTTTAGATGGCCAAAGATGCAAACCTCACTCAAGGGAAAAAGATCTGGGGGTGAGAAAAATACCGAGCATATCTCCTGAGGCGCACATCAATCAGATAACTGCTGCAGCATACGGGCGCCTGGCAAAACCTACGGATAGCGTTCCGATACCCCAGTAAGGATTCGTTTAAGACTCTGTATACCATCTACGTCAGGCCCATACTGGAGTATGCAGCACCGTTTGGAATCCACACCTAGTCAAGCACGTCAGAAATTAGAGAAAGTGCAAAGGTTTGCAACAAGACTAGTCCCAGAGCTACGGGGGTTGTTCTATGAAGAAAGGTTGAGGGAAATCGGCCTGACGACACTGGAGGACAGGAGGGTCAGGGGAGACATGATAACGACTATAAAATACTGCGCGGAATAGACGAGGTGGACAAAGACGGGATGTTCCAGAGATGGGACACAGACACAAGAGGTCACAATTGGAAGTTGAAAACTCAGATGAATCAAAGGGATGTTAGGAAGTATTTCTTCAGTCATAGAGTAGTCAGGCCATGGAATAGCCTAGAAAGTGATGTAGTGGAGGCAGGAACCATACATAGTTTTAAGGCGAGGTATGATAGAGCTCATGGGGCAGGGAGAGAGAGGACCTAGTAGCAATCAGCGAAGAGGCGGGGCCAGGAGCTGTGACTCGACCCCTGCAACCACAAATAGGTGAGTACAAATAGGTGAGTACACACACACACACACCTGGTGCATGTCTATATTAAACTGAGGAAGCCTCTTGTAGGCAAAACATCTCGTTAATAAATATCCATTTTGTGTGTTTTTTTTTTTTGTCTTACAAGGTATTATATACAATGTTTACCTACTCCTAAAAGTTTGTGGGGGGGGGGGGAGAGGTTACATGGTCCCCTCTATTTTGCGCAGAATGGCGTCTATGGGGCGTGACTGTAATTTGTTTATACGCCATGTATACTCCTCTAACTCAGTGTCACGTAAATTCCAGTTGTTTTGTGTTGTGTTTGCGTTTGTAGGTGGCGGTGGTGTCCAGGGACGAGGTGGGAGCCTACAAGCCTTACCTGTGGGAACAGAGCTGCTTCGAGAAAGGCCCTATGTTCCGTGAGTGGCTCCTTACCAAGATCGTCAACGGGGAGAGAGCTTCATATTCAGCACCCAAGTTCGCTCGCATGCAGGACCGCACCCGCTCTCAGATGCTAGAGGATCTGGTCAACAACCTCCAGAACCATGCTGAGACTGGACAGATTCCTAAACCTTACAGGTGGTGGCGTCATTTTGGTGGTAGTCTTCTGGCCCCAGATCTTACGTGCAGGAGTGCCCAGTTCGCTAGTCTCTGGTCTTGTGATTAGCGGAATGACCAACTCGGGTTTAGGCGCTTTATATGAAATAATTGTATTATAAATCAATCGATGGATACCTTACGTAGACGGTGTCATCTCACTAGAACGTGGCAGCAGAAAGTAACCTGTGCAGGAGCAACACTTCATGCGCCATCTTGTTATCTCTCTCATTATTTCCACCCCACTGTATATCTTGTACTGGTTTTCCACACATTTTTGTTCAGTTGGAGAATCCCCACGTTGATAAAATGATTCCACTGTGCTTGTAAAATAGTTGCACTACATTTTAAAATATTACTTTTTGCAGGCATCATTCACTGCATGGAGGTGGCCCCCATACCTCGCCCTCCCCCCTTTTTAAAACATTATTTATCTAACTCTGTCATTCTTCCACATATTTTGGCCATTTTTAACCTTTAGGTCAGTATTGGTTTTCAGTCACAACACTTAGCTAAAGTCATCATATTTATTACAGTATCACCTGACTGTGACGAATTAGACACATGGCAACATTTCCCTTTTTTGAAGATTTCTGTCAGCCCGTGTTTTTTTTTTCGATACAGAGATGATATACGAAGACAGTAGATGAGGTAATCAGTCCCTCAGCCTGAGGGACTGATTACCTCATCGTCTACTGTTGTGTGCATGGTTGTGCGAGGCTTGGGAATGATTATCTGATCTTAAAGTTTCTTTGTATATCATTTTTGTATTGAGCTGAGTTGGCTATTATTATTACATTCACGGGGGAGCGCTAAACCCCCCTAGGAAAGGGGAGGCAGTCAGATTCGATTCAGGTAAAAAAAAGAGATAGCTTCAGTTCTTTGGATCAGAATCCCTTTATGAGCATCAAGGTACTGCTTCAGATGTGTGCTGCTTCAGCAACTGTGCTTTCAGACGTGAAGGCACCACCTCATCATATATCATTTGTTATCGCTTTCTCTTAATATTATGTATTATGTTGTGTATAAATGGCTGCTCCGCCGACATGCACATAATGGTACTAACACTTCTGGTCCACAGACGTGGCTCCTGGCGACCTATCGGTCACATGCGTCCTTCGTCGCCACTGCTGGACTCAGTTCGCGACCTATTCGAGGGCACGACCAGACTAGCCAAAGACTTCACCCGTGCCTTCCACAACAGCGAAAAACCAGTTCAACAATATTCTCTACGACGTCACTTTCCTCGTCGGTGCCGGCAAGGAGAAGTGCAAACTCTACGGGGTTAGAGCCATCCTTGGTGTCCGCAGCAGGTGAGAACCTTCACAGCGCTAATTTGATCTCTCGAGAACGGCTGAGTTTGGAAGCATTGTCAGAGCGAGGAATCTGGGCACTATGTACCCCCCCCATCCCACCCACCCTTCAGCAAGTTTATATTTTGCCGTCTTTATACACCGGTACCGATATTCTTTCAATTACTTGTTCAACACTTCTACAATGGAGTCATATAAAACTGATTTTCTATTAGGCCTAATTCAGGTAAATTGTATACCTTTTAACTTTATTTTTAATACGCTGAATATGACATAATATCTTTTAACTTACTAATGGGTATTTGAAAAGTATCTTTTTTTGATTTTCATGTATTTGAGGCGCATCATAGATGAGTGACCCGGGCAGCTGGCCAGCTGGCCTTGACCCTTAGTCTGCCTCTCTCAGTTATTCCAGATTTAGAGATTATTACTTCTATAGAGATAATTCCAGTGGTTTTATTCGCTGAGAAACTTCTGGTTCTTAGGACTTTGACTAACACATTAAATATATATGTAAACTCAAGATAAGTCGTAATGAATGACTATCAGTCAATAACAACAAGAATACACTGGAATTCGGATCGTAGCAACACAAGTGCTGTCTGTCTGGCGCAGTGTTGGACCTGCCACATGCCAGGACTACCGTTTGAATCCCCGTCCATTCTTGTGTTGATTATGGCAGTTACTGTATGAGCATGTCTGTGTTACGCAGGGTGTTCCAGGAGATGCTGTACGGGTTCAGTACTGGCTTCGGCTCACCACAGGTCTCAGTAGCTGACATACTGGCGCGCGCCGTCCCCACTCTCCACTCTCCCTCGCACAAGCCTAAGAGTTCCAACTTCCTCCAGGTGAGTAACCCTGGGCTCTCTACTTCCTCCTGGTGACTAACACTGGGCTCTCTACTTCCTCCAGGTAAGTAACCCTGGGCTCTACTTCCTCCAGGTGAGTAAACCTGGGCTCTACTTTCTCCAGGTGAGTAACCCTGGGCTCTCTACTTCCTCCAGGTGAGTAACCCTGGGCTGTACTTCCTCCAGATGAGTAACGATGAGCTCTTTACTCCCTTATATAAATCTCGGAGCACCAGTATCCACGAACTCTCTATTCTCTCATGCGAATCTGAGAGCTTAAATCTCCCTACAATCTATACTCATTTAAATCTGAAAGTTCAACCCTCCCTAATCTCTCTATTCTCATGTAAATCTAGGAATTCAACCCTTTCCTGAGCTCTCTATTCCTTCATGTAAATCAGAGAATTCAACGCTTCCCTGAGCTCTACTCCCTCGTATAAACGAAAACCCTTAGGCTATTTTCAGTGTGATCATTGCTGACATGACGGCTGTACCAACAGGTGCCAGACATCGAGACTCCGCGGCCCAAGAGTGTGCCCAACTCACCCATCGTGATGCGCGCCTTCTCCCGCTTGGGCACCCTCACGTCCGGTTGGGGCAGGTCCTCCAAGAAGCACGACCGGCTCTCCGTCGAGGACAAAAAGAAGTGGGCGTCCTCACAAGACTGCTCAGGTGAGTATGGTCTCTCACCCTTCCTCCTGTTGTTAAACACCACTCACAGACTTCTTGTGTTAATGAAGTTGTCCACTCCATCTCAGTGTCATTCAATTAATATTTTAAGATTATATACGATTTTTTTAGAATGTTTGATCAGAGTCCCAGTAGATAGAAACAAACATGCTAATCACTTCTTGATTTTTAAATGACTTCTGGAAGCTAGTTGGTTAAAAATGTTCAGATATTTGTATGTGGTTTAGCAAAGTATTTATTGCTAGTGTGTCCTGTTTTATACTCACTGTGAAGTATTCCTCTTGTGAGATGCCTAGTACAACTCGTCCACCAGGCTGTGAATATTTAATGCGAAAATGGTCGGTGTACTAATGTTGTTTCATTGAAGGTAAAGCAGTAAACTAGGGAATGGGCGGTAATATAACTTAATCCAAGGAAGAGGATGATCGCTCCAGTTCCCTGGGTCAAAAGACCTTCACCAGTAACGAGGCATCCCTCTTGCAGGGTGTGGTAGGTGCAGTGAACGTTTGGCTGCCATGATGGCTGTCCAGCAAGTGGGGACAGGTTGATGTACGAGGTTAAATACTCTGCTTGTATTATATTCCTTTGTCTACTTGTTTTGTTGACACGCAGATGTGTAATAGTAAGGAACTTAAACGGTAATGTCAGTGATGAAGTAAGTGGTGGGAAGAAAGCAGAGAAGACACAAAGTGAGAGTGTTAGGAGTGTTATGGGAAGTAAGAGACCATTGGGAGAAAGCAGATCCCTCAGTAAGTGTTTTGTTTGGTTCTCCCAGCAGGGAAGGATGGCAAGGAGCGGCAGGGAGACAAGAACGCCCTGGCGGTGCCTCGTCTGAGCGTGTGTGCTGACGGAGGCAAGGTGGACCGTGCACGCCTCTGTCAGGCGGAGGTACGTGTGATGGTGCCACAGACCAGCGAACGACGCCAGACCCAAGTACGGTAAACCCCACACTCGTGCACGCCCACACCCTCCACAGCACGTGTGTACGCCCTCACGTCCACCACTAGATCGCTGCGGGTAGGCACTCACACGTACACATAAACACACGTTTATGTTGTTATACTCACACACATATGCACCATAACTCCAATGTGGATATGCACTCGTGTCCACATTCCCAGGCTCTTACACATTACCTCGCTGCTACAGTCACATGGACACGCATAAACTCTCAAGCTACGTACACGCTAAAGCTCTCAAGCTACGTACACGCTAAAGCTCTCAAGCCACGTACACACAAGAGCTCTCAAGCTACGTACACGCAAAACCTCTCAAGGTACATATAAGCATATGCTCTCAAGCCACGTTCAAGCATAAGCTCTCCAGTTACGTACACCCATAAGGTGCCAAGGCACGTACTTCAACAGGTCCAGCAGCAGATCACTGCGGACAGGACCTCGCAACCATATTGGGAGAAACTCATCTGGGTATGTACCTGCCCTGTGCCCCCAACCTCACCAACATGCCCAAATCATTGCTCCCTTCACAGTGTGATCCTCTTCCCGTCTCCACAATCCTTCGGGATCTGATCCTCCGCGCCCCATATTTACCTTCCATACCGTGTCTTTCTGTTTGCACATCTAAAAAATTAACGAGGATATCTTTTTTGCACACCATTATGAAAATTATTAATTATATTCATGGGGAAACGACAAGCCTGTGAGGGTCATTTGGTACCTGACCTTTATATAAGAAGGCGGATACAGCTATGTAAGTTTAATGCATGCGGAGAGAAGAGTAAGTGATAGCTTACCGTAGGATGTTGCACGAGGACAATTTTAGCAGTTACCCCTCGTTAATTGCCAGTTTTGTTTATTGTTTATTTTAGAACACAGTGAAGATTAAAGTACAACTTCCAGGGAAGACAAAACCCTCACGTTTTACAGAAAATGTTCATATGAAATAACTTAACCCCTGCTGATACAAAACATACGTAAGGAACTCCAGCTGTATATGACTTGTCAGTCACGTTCCTGATACAATAATAATAATAATAATAACTAACATTTATAAAGAATGCATATTTGGATGAATCTTACTAGGCTGGCATGGCACAGTGGATAACGCACTGGCCTGCTAGTTTTAGGACTGGCTTGCCATGGGTCCAAGCCCCACTCTGTTAATTGAATTGCTTACAAGCGTGTCATCATTATTTCGTAAGTAATACCTATAATAATGTTACCTGTAGTCCTGTTTTATAATGTCACCCTGGCTGGCTGGACGTATACCAAGCGAGCCTCTGGAAGTCCGTCACTAGGCGGGAGATTCCTAACAAAGCCAGGGACTCACTGGCTAGTGCTAGGCTAAAAAAAAAAGACAGGTTACAGGACACGACTGTTAGGACAACCTTTCGTTGCGAGTAGTTTTATCAAGTAACGTTGTCCCAAAGAGAATTTATTCTGAGATATTTGATTTCACTTCTGTCGTAGTGTTTCTCACGAAGTGTCTTCAGCGAGCATTTATCCGGCTACGATAACTCTGTGTATTCATCAGTAGCACTCTTGTTCCCGCCGTGCAGCCTCCTATGACCCTTACGGGCTTACCAGTTCTCGAGAGTATAATAGAATTGTTATTATTTGAATGGCTTAGAAAACCGACAGGTAGATGACTGAGACACTCTTTCGGCATTTGGGAATTTTTATTGGTGAACAAAGATTCCCAGGTGTTGTACAAGTGTCTCAAGAATTGTGATTAGTCTTTTCACATACACTTGCAACAGAGGCAGCAAAACAGGTCACAGAACGGGTTGGGCTTTGAACCCTTAGCAGGAGAGTCTTGAAACTCCCAGGGCACTGTGCTAGCCTAACGGGCCTTATTACCTGGTGTTGCAACCCCAGCAGCACCTGTGTTGCAACCCCAGCAGCACCTGTGTTGCAACCCCAGCAGCACCTGTGTTGCAACCCCAGCAGCACCTGTGTTGCAACACCCACCAGCAGCACCTGTGTTGCAACCCCAGCAGCACCTGTGTTGCAACCCCAGCAGCACCTGTGTTGCAACCCCCAGCTGAAAGCAGCACCTGTGTTGCAACCCCAGCAGCATGCAACCCCGCATGTTGCAACCCCAGCAGCACCTGTGTTGCAACTCCAGCACCACCAGTGACAACAGAACAATACCGACATACGAACGCTCATGACTCCTTCACCCGTGGAAGTCAGCCCAAGCCTGTCCTACCATAACTACAAAAAATAACTCGAAATCCGCAATTACTAGGATTGTTCTAGGACTTCTTTTGTGAACAAACTGATAACTGCTACATGAAAGGCGTGTGAAGCAATGTTTGTGAGTTGTGACTTGGGTCAGGTGAGGCAAACTGGTCACTCTTGTAGACTCTTGATTATATGGGAGCTTTAAATATGGATATGCCTTTACTAAAATATTTTAATTCTGGTTACTAAACAGTATATTATGTACTTATAATAACCCTTTATTCCAATTTTTTTTGTTTTGTTTTAATTCGTTTCAACAGAAACTGACTGAATGTTTGCCTGTAAATGAGTGCAGGGCCCCCCCCTCCTCTCTCTCCCCCTTCCCTCTCTCCCTCTCCCTCTCTCCCTCTCTCCCTCTCCCCCTCTCCCTCTCCCTCTCCCTCTCTCTCCCTCTCTCTCCCTCTCTCTCCTCTCTCTCCCTCTCTCCCTTTCTCCCTCTCTCCCTCCCTCTCCTCTCTCTCTCTCTCTCTCCTCTCTCTCTCTCTCTCTCTCTCTCTCTCTCTATCTTCTCTCTCTCTTCTCTCTCTCATTTATAAAGCATCCAGTTGGTGGATAATTTGTCACATGTCAATGCAAAAATAATTTGGTTTTAGCATGGGTAGAACAAGGATAAAAAGCGTATGGCAACCCTCACCTTTGTCATAGATATACGTGGGAGGAACAACAGTGCTGTACCCAAACTGTCTAAACGCACACCTCTACTTTGTAACTAGCCCCCAGGGGCGCACCTACACCCTGGGAACTGTCTTATGTATTTAGCTGGTCTCTAGATAACAAGTACCAGAGAACCTTTACTCCCAGCTTCTCCCCCCAGAGTCATGGTCTAAAGTGTACTCCAGGGTTTTGTCTAGAACCCCCAAGCACCTGTCTTCTTAGCTTCAGATAATTCCTGGAAGATACCTAGACCCAAAAGGCAGATATTATAGCTGGAGTCAACCCAACATTGGAATTTCTGTATTCTTGTGCTTGAATCCTATAGCTCTAAACAAAGTTATACAGACTCGTCAAAATTCCAGGCTTGAATCTGTAGGCTAACCTAGACCAAATGGTGGATTGTGTAGAGCCTCAGGAACTAAGATTTTGCTTGTGTAAGCTCTGAGGTGTGGGCTCGGCTACACACTCGGGCAGTAGAGCTCACCTTAAACACTGCTACTAAGTCCTTGAATGTTGTGTGTCATGTGCTTGTTGTGCTGCTTTCCCCGCTGATTCCTGTTTTGCTTCTTGCTCTTTTTATCGGTGCGTTGATTTATATATAGTATACTGTATATGGCAAAACTACAATGAACAGACCTAAAGCCAGTATCACTATTATATTCATATTGCATTTTGTGGAAATCACCAGATTTGTATACGAATTATAATGTAATTATCGTTCAGACGAATTAAAATTTGGAACTGATGCGATGTTTGATTCTGCAGTTTCCCTTTTTCTGTAATTAACAGTTTTCAAACTTTATATTACGGTTAGAGTCGCTTATATGACAGAATAAAAAAAAATGTTTTCATTGCCTGTTCCAACCCTTATAACAGTCACTGCCTCACCCCAATGGGTTCAGTGCCTCCAGTCACATAGTCACACACACGTTTATTCAAACTTCTGCCCATTTCACTTACACATAATTTTTTTTTTTTTTTGGATATTGCTTGCGTGAGTGATAACACAATCTTTTGAAAACATTGGCATTGGGTTTAGTTTGGTAATGTGGATCTCTTAAAATATTATAGATTTATCATTGCGAACAAAACCTAATGACAGCGTTAAAAGCGTATAGTTTCCTCTCTTGCAAGACGTGTCCAAACGAACTATATTTATTAGAAACAGCTTGCTTAGATATCTTGTGAATGAATACAAAGCTGATATCGAGGAGGCAATGAGAGCAATGTTGTGATGTGTCATGTGTATTCCTGAGACCGCAATGTTATGTTGCGCTGTAGTGTTCCTATAAGGAGGCGGGATGTAGAATCAAGCCTTATAGCATCATTTACAACTTTAATTTGCCTGAAGGACTGTTTAATTTACACATAATTTGAGCTAAATTCAGTACTAATCGCACACAATGCTGAGTAGTCAGTTCAGAGATCAAAGGATGGATATTTCGTCCCGGGAATATTTATTCTGTTGTTTTTGAGAGAATATTTTTATATAACAATAAGGTAATGGTCGGAGAACAGAAGCAAATGAGGGCTCAACTTAGTACCTAAGAACCTTAGACCTTATTGAGGCTACGAGAGTTAAGTTTTAGCTCGAAAATAGGCGTGGCATGTTCCATCTGGGATCTTTATTAGCCTTAGTCTAGAAAAATCGTTTTCGGCAGTCTTTCAACACATTAAAATTATGAATCACACTATCGCTTGGGATGGGGTAAATATTATAAGGTCAACGATGCCTGCAATAGGAAAACCATAGAAGTAACTAACCAACTACAGAACTTCAATATTTCAAGGAGGTCATTGGAAAGTGATACAGTTATGAAAGTCACAGCGGACAAACATATTCCAGCAATAAATGTGAAGAGAAACTTGATGCGATAAGGAAATTGTGTTGAGAAAATGTATTACAGCGGTGAATTTTAAAAGAATTCTTTACACTAATGACTTGACACGTCGCTTCCCATTAGAGAAGCTACCTTGATGCCTGTGAGGGGGCTCTTGATCTCGATCCTGGTGTATTGAACGTGAATG